TTGGTAAAAGAGTAGCCCAAGAGTTGGCGGTGGGTGGTGATGACTAGCTGTCTTCCCTCTAGTCTTACACTGCTAAATTAGGGACGGCTAGCGCAGATAACCCTCGTGTAGCTTTGCGCGAAATTCAAAAAACAAACAAACAAGCTCTAAGTTTCAGGCAATCTAGAGCTTTCTAAAAAAAATCTATTTATATGTATATAACAAATTGCACCTTAACAAAAAAATAAATAAATTAAAATTGTACCACACGTAGAATTATAGAAGGTGTGGTTTGGAGAAGAATAACTGCGAGTAGTAATAGCTCCCAAATAGCTTTAGGAAGACTCCGTTTCTCCGATATAGTTCATAATATGGTTGGAAATACTGTTCTATATTAACTGGTAATAAAGGGTAACTATCATGCCCAAAATATGGCCGCGGATGCATCATGTGATGCTCAATGGGACGCAGGATGTTTTGTGAAAGAGCACATGGGTCCCGCCCATCAAATGATTTACTAATTAGATTGCTGTTGGAAATACACTAGCTTTTCACTTACGTTTAGGTGAATAACTGGAAAGACAGGGTATTCAAACATTAGCTGGAAGTTTCTTTTCCACAACTGGAACTCTTGGAATTATTAAATTTTAACTCCTTTAATTTATTTCTCGTTAAGACGCGATTTGTTATTCTATTTAGCTTTGGTCTATTTACTGCTCTGTGGCGCTAATATTTATCGCTCTTAACAGCTGTTGCAGTTATATTATGAAATACATGTTCAATTTATATATATATATATATATATAGGTGTTGTTTGGGCCATCTAAAAAAGTATAACTAATCCCAACTAATCACGGGAAATAATAAAAGCTTTTCAAGAATGTTTCATCTGTAGTTTGTCTTGGTGATAAATCACAACTTTTAAACAATTCTTACCATTGGACTTTGTACAGACATATAATAACCTTATGTTATCCATCTATATAGCATATCCATGTCAACACGGCATACTAAGAAAATAAAACGGTGTTTTGTTTGAACATAATACCTTTGTGTGTTTAGGATATTCGTGGAAAGCCATTCAAGGTTTATCTGCGCTAGCCGTCTCTTATTTTGAACTTACAGACTAAAGAAAAGACAACCGGCCAACAACATTCACTGCCTATTACTGGTCTATTCTCATCAAACAGTGGGATGTGACCGCCATTCTTACAGCGCCGCCACGCCCCCAAAATGCAGAAATAGATTTTATGACAACGGGACGCGAACCATGAAACCCCGAATTCATAGTTCGGCATAACAGCCACGTCCGGGCCAACATAATGTGAGCATACGAACTATCATTAAAGCTGATCAACTCATTCACAAGTAAATAATGTTATAGACATTTTCGTTATTCCATAGAACTCTATGGACTGGCTGTCGATCGACTGAAACCTACATTATCTTGTTAGTGAACTGTAGGCGAGGTATGTATTCAAGCGTAGAAAATGCCCTTAGAGCATGAGCAGACAGAATTAAACAGTGATAAGACAAACTGGCTCATCATAACTTTATATAAAAAACATATAATTAACTTTATTTATTATTTTTAAAAGTGACATTTTCATGACTGTAAAACCCACCCTGGCGACGATTATAAAATTCAACGCAGAAATAAAACATACATATAAGTAAATAGAGCATAATAGAGGGTAATTATTTTAGGTAATTTTAATTTATAATACCATATAGTCGCTTCAATTAGATAAAAGAAATATATTCGAATATACATATAATTTTAAAATACATTCACTGAACTCGTTTCGTTTATCGGATAATAAGGAGAACGACAGCATCAATATCAAAGTTAACACAAAAGACAAAACATTCGAAATGTTATAGTCACTTTTAACGGCCTCTGGTGGAATTTTGATTGCTTTATAATAAATATCATGTTAGTTTATACTGTAGTATAACACAATTGAAAATACACCTATTTGATGCATAACATCGAAAATATTAATCCACAAGATATACTAGTGGTTAGACTATAATATAAACAGAATGGTGTTTCGCAACAGATACTCGAGGAGTGGTGTAAAGCCAGTGCTCTATCCATTTACTTCTATGGCCATGATGTGATCCAATCAACCATTTTTGTAGCTATCTAAATCGTTGGGTGTTGTTAGTTTTTTAACTAAAACTTACTGAATAAATATAACTTTCTTATTTAGGTCAGGTTATTAATCAATATAAGTAAAAAAAAAAGTAAAAATATAAATGTTTAAAATAATTGTTGAGAGAGTAATCAAGCAAAAATAGAAATAACGAAAATTAATTAAAATGATATGAAGGTTCACTGGTTGTGTGGCTGTATTATCCTGAGGACCTATATAGGAGGTTATGAAATGTATGTCGAAGAATATTTTTCCATCAGCCTTCAATGAAGCGGCAACGGTTTGATTCTTTAAAATAAGTATTTCTAATAGAAATGTTTAAATGGATGTCTAAAAATAAATTGTAAACGTCTACTCAGAAAAGGCATTGGAAATTATATAAATATTCACCAAGTTGAAAAAAGATGAAACAAAAAATAAACCAAATTCTAGTAAATATTCGGCTTTCCCAACTAACTGTATGTACATAAAAAATACAAATTTCTTAATTTAGCAGTTATAAAACTGTGTGGCCACTTGTACAACATTTAGCATGCCGTTAGCAGTATTCTTGTCTTTAAGTCCCGGATAACAGCATAACCTTATGCATGGTAAAAATTTCAATATTACTAGAAGAACCTACACGGTAAATAAAACGACATTAATAGTGAGAACACTTCACTAACCCATGCTTCAGTCAACCTGGAGGCTTTTATAATTATGCATGCGTATTTTTTACAGAAACTTTCCAGATGTAATACTATTGTGGAACGTATTTAGAAGTGGCACTCAATAGTTACAGAAGTTTCACAAAAAGAAACTATCATGGAGTTTAAACGCTTTGTCCTCTTCTTAAAATATATATACATATAACACTGGTAAACATACTGTTCATACCAATACTTCGAATCTATTGTATTTCTGTTTTATTTCCCTTCCTTTTTTTTTACTGAATTAGAATATTAAAACGATAATCACAACGATAAGCTGCATTTACACTTTGTTTGTTTTTTCCCGCCAACTTCAGAGGTTGAGTACGTTATACTAAAACTATTTTTAATCCCCACCCTGTCTTTACAGCCCGTATCGCAAGGGCCAGACATACTCTGATGTCCCAGGTAACAATAAGCATCATAATCAATAAGAATTCTCTTGAAAAAAACGACACGACTTACGTGTGAATGAATTGTTCCCATGATGTATTTGCCCAATCGTCGTATACCTACAGCAGATAGAAGCCGTCTTCGTTACCTAGAGGGTTTATGGGAACATGAAAGGAGGAGGGGTGCTCTTCGGACATGACAGCCTTATAATGGAAACTACGATACAGGGCTACTGTCAAGATGCAAAGTTCTCAGGGTGGTCGGTTTTTTCCAGTGATCCTTGTGGTTATGGATTATTACCTGTTACAAGACGCAGCACTTTACATATCATAGCTGTAGTATTACTTGTTGCAGGTTTCTTTCTTAATGGTCCTCGTTCCTAAAGTTCATTGATATTCCTTTGTTTTCCAATGCTATTAACTAGAAGGAATATTTCCATCTTGGAAATTCTAAATCCCCAATCTGAACACATCTTTATGATGTGAGTATATGAATATTCTGAGTCTATAGGAATGTATTTACTCTTCCCAGAGTCGATCATTTGTCGGTGGTATCACGCTATCCACGTAGCGCCAAAATGTCAAACTGTAGTTCTGATACGTCCTGTTACACCACGACTTTATAACAACTGTGATTGTACGTAGCTTGCTGATTTGCTTATTCAAAATCGTTTTAATATAATGTACTCAAACCTGTAGTCCACGTGTATAAAGTCACGTCTAGGCTGTAAGAACACTTTTTATATATCTACATTTTTTTATTGGGTCAAAGTGAAAATTATTGATTAAAGTGACGGCTCAAAATATATTTGTAAATTTTACAGAGTAAAGATTGAAAACCGGATTTGTCAAAGTGGAAAGTGAATAATTATTTCGATATTGAGTTTGCATGATAATCATGTTTCTGCTGAACAGAGAGAATAATCACTGTTAGATCATTTATAAAATTGTCGAAAATGAGACGTCTGTATTTCTTGTGTTAAAATCCCAAAATTATCTGAACTTTCTCAAGTGATGTGTTATGTTTTGTTGTTTTTCTCTAGTATTACTGAGTGTAATATTTAGCATTTACTTGTATAGCCAAACAGTTCAATGTTGATAGCAACAGCAATTACATAACTCATTGTTGATGAAAAAATAAAAAAGGACTAATTAAACATGTATTCCAGTCGATTTGAATTTTAAAGTTAATCTCTGAAAGTCAGAAATGCTTTAATTTTTCAAATAATTCTATAGTAGAAACGATCGGCTATATTTAATAGTTCAAGAAAAGCATTCACCAGGGATATAAAACCACCGTGTATGAGAATATCAGGAAATGATTAGTGTAAGGGGGTGTTTCCATTATTTTAACAACTTGATTGCTGTTAAAAGATATGCATTTTCTTATATACAAGACATTCACTATTGCGACACCGTAACCGTGTATGCGAAACGTTGCTAGATATAGTAAGAGAGGTGTATATACATGTATATATATATGGGAAAAAATAGCTAAAATGTACAACGCTTATATTTGTAAAGATTTCCAAAATATAAGACATGTTTATTATTACGAGACATATTGCATTCTTTTAACGTGTGATTATCATCTGAATTATTATTCCTCAGCTTTGTTGTATGTCGAAAAGGGCATATTGAGAAATGGGTTTGAGGCGTGGCCTGAAGTTTTAACGGTTTTTACTGGTGGATTGCGAAAGAGCGTCATCTCCCACTTGCACCAAGCGGCATGAACGTAGCACCTGCAGCCTACGCAGTCATAAGATATATATAAAATGAACTGCAACAAATAATTGGTCTCAAAGCCAAATCAGAAGGAAAGCAACGAAACTGGATCCTCTTTGACAAGCTTAAAACACTGTAAAGAAGACAACGAGCTCCTGTGGAAAGGATCAGCAATCTGCTTTTCTAACAAATCCATCGGTAAGTGTGTTTTCGATCCAATGTGTAGTTTTTGTTTCATTTACTATGTATTTCTTTGCGAAACTATATTATTTCCAAGGTAACATTTATGGTTGTTAAACTTTGTTCCATTAGATCAATACCTACAGAAATTATTTATAAGTTTTATCAGAATTTTGATAATAAAGAATGTATATCCTTATAAAATGAGCGCAGCAATATAGTTAAATCTGAAACAAAAGGCGCAATATATCGAAATCGGTGTGATCCCTATAGAAGTTTCAACGCACAATAAGAAGGTTTGTGTTTACTAAGTAACTTAATTGTACAATACACTGTCAACAAATGTTCTATTGTGCACCGAATGATTAGTGAAAGTATGTTATAAAGAGTAAAGTAGGAAAAACATCATACCCGGAAACTTATGAATAGTTTTATTGTATTGAGATATCTGACCAATGTTGTAGGAGTACCACTTCAACTAAAGGAAGTGTTTACAAGATACTGAATATGTGGAAACTTATGAATAGTTTTATTGTATTGAGATATCTGACCAATGTTGTAGGAGCACCACTTCAACTAAACGAAGTGTTTACAAGATACTGAATATGTGGAAACTTATGAATAGTTTTATTGTATTGAGATATCTGACCAATGTTGTAGGAGCACCACTTCAACTAAAGGAAGTGTTTACAAGATACTGAATATGTAGGCTTACTTAAATTGTGCTTGTTTAATAGAGAGAAATCCTTGTGTTGTAATTCTAGATTAAGAAAATTGGTTTGGTATTAGAAGAAACATTCAAAGGCAAATTTTAAATAGTCTGATTAATTGTGAATTTTTTATTATGTTGAATACCTAGTAGTAGTAAATGTTTTGTGTGGTGAATGAAAAGTGGAAGATTTATTATTAAACTGGATAATTTTAAAAGCTTATATTACTGAATGACGTTAAAAATTATCTGAATAGCTTTCGAATTTATTATATTTGATAATTAGCGCAGGTTTTCTATTATATTATGATAATTAGCGCAGGTTTTCTATTATATTAAATAAATCCTTAAATTCTTTATTTTTGTAAACTTTTTAGTCCAAAAGTTATGTTATAGCGAGTGACTAGTTAAGGTTTTAATAGCGTACAGAATTAATAGTAATAGGTTTTGGCAAGACACTACAAGTAACGTTAACCTTTTATACTTTTACGGCATAGGGTGCAAGATTCTTAGTTATTAATCCTTTTGCAGAGAAATTTAGGCTTATTTCCTTGAGTCTGTGAAATTTCTGCTAATGTTTTTCTTCACTAAATGTATATTTTATACTTAATGTTTTCTTTGAAGGCAGATTACGAGGATTAACAGTTTTGCTTCGTTAAGTTGATACTTAATTAATGTTTCTCTGGAGGCAGATTACGAGGTGTTATCGTTTTGCTTCGTTAAGTAGACACTTAATGCTTAATACAGCTCTGAAGGCAGATTACAAAGTTTAATCGTTTTGCTTCATTAAGTAGACACTTAATGCTTAATATAGTTCTGAAGGCAGATTACAAAGTTTAATCGTTTTGCTTCATTAAGTAGACACTTAATGCTTAAAATAGCTCTGAAGGCAGATTACAAAGTTTAATCGTTTTGCTTCATTAAGTAGACACTTAACGCTTAATGTTACTCTGAATGCAGATTACAAGGTTCAATCGTTTTGCTTCATTAAGTAGACACTTGATGCTTAATGTTGCTCTGAAGGCAGATTACAAAGTTTAATCGTTTTGCTTCATTAAGTAGACACTTAACGCTTAATATAGCTATGAAGGCAGATTACAAAGTTTAATCGTTTTGCTTCATTAAGTAGACCCTTAATACTTAATGTTGCTCTGAAGGCAGATTACGAGGTTAATCGTTTTGTTTCATTAAGGAGACACTTAATGCTTAATGTTGCTCTGAAGGCAGATTACGAAGTGTAATCGTTTTGTTTCATTAAGTAGACACTTAATGCTTAATGGTGGTCTGAAGGTTGAATATGAAATGTAATCGTTTTGCTTAGTTAAGTAGACACTTAATAATTAATGTTGCTCAAAATAGATTACGTGGTGTTATCGTTTTGTTTATTAAGAAGACACTTAATGTTTGATGTTGGTCTAAAAGCAGATTACGAGGTTTACTAGTTTTGCTTCATTAAGTAGACTTAATGCTTAACGTTGTTCTGAAGGCAGATTATGAGGCGTAATCGTTTTGCTTCGTTAAGTAGACACTTAATAATTAATGTTGCTCAAAATAGATTACGTGGTGTTATCGTTTTGTTTAGTTAAGAAGACACTTAATGTTTGATGTTGGTCTGAAAGCAGATTACGAGGTTTACTAGTTTTGCTTCATTAAGTAGACTTAATGCTTAACGTTGTTCTGAAGGCAGATTATGAGACGTAATCGTTTTGCTTCGTTAATGTTGCTCTAAAAGTAGATTACTAGGTTTAATCGCTTTGCATAGCAGTTGCTGATTATATACCAAAAACAATAAAAACCTTTTTGCTATTATTATTTCTGGGATATGCTTGTTTTCACTTGAGTTTCATTATTTTGAACAATGAGCTATGAAAATCCCATGTGTTTGAGTAATGACACATCTTCATGAAAACTGATAAAATTACATTTATAACCCTTTTTTGTAAGATAGATGTTCAAAACCAATTGGGTGTTTCGCAGTGTTCTGTTAGGCGAAGTATCCTCACTACTGTGTGGGTTCTACCTCCTAGATACAATCTCTTGGTGTGCTCTATTTGATCTTTCTCATACTTTAGCTTGTACCCTAGTTGTATTTTAATTTTGTATGCCGTTAAGTGTGCCGTAGATATCTGGAATGTTTAAAAATCTTTAGACACATCTATCAATGTATGTTTGTTTG